TTGCCTTTAGAATTAGCCTAGCAGCTGAGTTTTGAAACTTTTGTAATTTTTCTAAGAAGTGTTTTGGGGAAGTTTGTTGTGAATTATTTTAAAAGGAAACCCACCAGTCCAAAGCTAAAAACTTTAATCATGTTTCCTAAACCATAAGTCACCGAGTCATCGCCTCAAATTATAAACAGTTGAATTAAAATATACACTGACATCTTCCAACAACAATATTGGGTGTGAAAATAACTTTTATAAAAACGTCGGTAAATGTTCGTGAAAAAGAGCATTTTTTTTCAAACTGGAATTTTCAGCATCTTAAAAAAAAAGTTTTCATTCTCCCCTATAACCTAAAATTACAAATAAAAACTCAAAGGTTCTCTTATTACTAAAGGTTGTTTTAGTTGAAGCCTTTAATATTTCTAATGCCTTTGTGTTGAGAGTCAAGTGTGCTGTAATGCAACATCAATATGAAGTTCAATGTTCTGATGTGTTCGGTTATTAAAGAGAATTTCTCCTCTTATATTTGGTTTGCTTAAGGTGTGTCCTGCTTCGTGTTCTAAGCCACCCTCCTCCTCCAACTCCTCATTTTTATATCAGTAGTACTGATGAAAAACGGACGTCATGCGTGACGTGTGAACTCGGGTGAAAAATCATTTAGGGGAGGTGACTATGATATTAATCATAAAGAGTGACTGGTGTGGTATAGGACTGTCTGTAGGACTGTCTGTAGGACTGTCTGTAGGACTGTCTGTAGGACTGTCTGTAGGACTGTCTGTAGGACTGTCTGTAGGACTGTCTGTAGGACTGTCTGTAGGACTGTCTGTAGGACTGTCTGTGAAATGAATGGCAGACTCGCAAAAGCTAGTGCCCTATTTGGCAGGCTCCGCAGCACTGTTTGGGACAGGAGAGGTATCAGTCGAGAAACAAAGCTCAAGGTCTATAGCGCAGCAGTCCTCCTGACACTGCTTTATGGATGTGAAACGTGGACTGTCTACCAGCGTCACGCCAAGAAACTGAATCATTTTCACACTACCTGCTTCAGGAAACTCTTCGACATCAGGTGGCAAGACAAAGTCCCCGACACCGAGGTCCTCGCTAGAGTGAACCTACTTAGTATCTTCACCACTCTGATGCAGTCTCAGCTCCGTTGGATGGGACACGTAGCCCGTATGGCAGACCACCGGCTCCCTAAACAAATATTCTTTGGAGAACTCACAATAGGCAAGCGCTCCCAAGGAGGCCAAAGAAAGCGTTACAAAGACTCACTGAAAGTGGCACTAAAGGTCTTCAGCATAAACCCTACTCAATGGATGCAGACAGCCCAGGACAGAGCCAGATGGAGAGCTGCTGTCAAGAAGGGGGCTAAATCCCATGAAGCTAAGAGAATAACCACAGCTGAGACACGCAGGCTTGTCCGAAAGAGCAACATTAGAAATGGATGCAGACAGCCCAGGACAGAGCCAGATGGAGAGCTGCTGTCAAGAAGGGGGCTAAATCCCATGAAGCTAAGAGAATAACCACAGCTGAGACACGCAGGCTTGTCCGAAAGAGCAACATTAGGTCATCGCCTGAAGCAACTATTCAATGCCCACGGTGTCATAGATTATTCCGAGCAAGGATCGGTCTAACAAGCCACCTAAGAGCTTACCGTAATCCCACCCCCGCCCCCCCCCCAATCCGCCCCTAACCGGATGATTCGATAGTCCTTGTCGACTTCGACGGACGAACAACAGGACTGTCTGTAGGACTGTCTGTAGGACTGTCTGTAGGACTGTCTGTAGGACTGTCTGTAGGACTGTCTGTAGGAATGTCTGTAGGACTGACTGTATGCTGGTAGGTTGTAGTACCCAGTGTAAAGACTGCACCCAGGTAAGCCCTAGTAATTAGTATTGAATTTTTTTTATTTATTTACTTTTTCTTCGCATATTTCACCGCAAATTATGTTATACAACAGTTTAAAACGGTTGTTTGCCACACACCAATATGTTACCACACACCAATATGTTACCACACACCAATATGTTACCACACACCAATATGTTGCCACACACCAATATGTTGCCACACACCAGTATGTTGCCACACACCAATATGTTGCCACACACAAATATGTTACCACACATCAATATGTTGCCACACACCAATATGTTGCCACACACCAGAATGTTGCTTAGTTTTAAAGATCGGTTTTGAGATGAATGTGAAAGTGGTTGAGATGTAAAGAAAACGAATTTCGTTCAGTTTAAACTAAAAATAATATAACTATAATTGGACCATGCAATCAAAGAGACCGCGTATTGTGTAACAGCTGTTTATTTCTCCTCTCATTATATGAGCTAGTTGTTAACTGCTGTTTATTTCTCCTGTCATTATATGAGCTAGTTGTTAAATGCTGTTTATTTCTCCTCTCATTTTATGAGCTAGTTGTTAACTGTTGTTTATTTCTCCTCTCATTATATGAGCTAGTTGTTAACTGCTGTTTATTTCTCCTCTCATTATATGAGCTAGTTGTTAACTGCTGTTTATTTCTCCTCTCATTATATGAGCTAGTTGTTAAATGCTGTTTATTTCTCCTCTCATTATATGAGCTAGTTGTTAACTGTTGTTTATTTCTCCTCTCATTATATGAGCTAGTTGTTAACTGCTGTTTATTTCTCCTCTCATTATATGAGCTAGTTGTTAACTGCTGTTTATTTCTCCTCTCATTATATGAGCTAGTTGTTAACTGCTGTTTATTTCTCCTCTCATTATATGAGCTAGTTGTTAACTGCTGTTTATTTCTCCTCTCATTATATGAGCTAGTTGTTAACTGCTGTTTATTTCTCCTCTCATTATATGAGCTAGCTGTTAACTGCTGTTTATTTCTCCTCTCATTATATGAGCTAGTTGTTAAATGCTGTTTATTTCTCCTGTCATTATATGAGCTAGTTGTTAACTGCTGTTTATTTCTCCGCTCATTATATGAGCTAGTTGTTAACTGTTGTTTATTTCTCCTCTCACTATATGAGCTAGTTGTTAAATGCTGTTTATTTCTCCTCTCATTATATGAGCTAGCTGTTAACTGCTGTTTATGTCTCCTCTCATTATATGAGCTAGTTGTTAAATGCTGTTTATTTCTCCTCTCATTATATGAGCTAGTTGTTAACTGTTGTTTATTTCTCCTCTCATTATATGAGCTAGTTGTTAACTGCTGTTTATTTCTCCTCTCATTATATGAGCTAGTTGTTAACTGCTGTTTATTTCTCCTCTCATTATATGAGCTAGTTGTTAACTGCTGTTACCATGCATAATGAGGGAGACCTGGTTTTTTGTAAATCAAAAACAAAAACACAGAAAAAGCTTTGACACATTTCTATTAATAAAAACGTATTGTTAAAAAGACCCAAACATTCTGTCAGACTGGACATCATAAGACCCAAACATTCTGTCAGACTGGACATCATAAGACCCAAACATTCTGTCAGACTGGACATCATAAGACCCAAACATTCTGTCAGACTGGACATCATAAGACTCAAACATTCTGTCAGACTGGACATCATAGTGTTTTCTAATTCAACTGACAGTTGCTTAATTTTTAAAAGAAATGTGTTATTTTTTTTAAACAGAAAAATAAACACTTGCAAATAAAGGATACAGGGAATTTGATCAGAAGGAATTTGTTGGACGGAAAATTGATCAGATCGAAATAATGGAAAACCCCCAAAAAATAAATTTGATAAAAACAATTTAAAAGTTTCCCCATTTCTCATTCTCACCTTCCCTTAAGAAAAATCCACCTAGTTTTTAAATAAGAAATCATTCTCAGTTTAAGAAATTTAATTACAAACTTTCATTAGAGAACATTTCCGTCGCACAAATGTCTTTCGAGCACTGTTTCCGGAGATGGCGTATCAGATGCTTGGTTATTAAATCCTTGATGAATCGTCGGCCCAAGAACTGGCAGACACAGGAAGGCAATTTTCCATTGGGCAAGTAAACATGGTAAAACAAATTTGGGAGCAAAGATTGTTCTGCCTGACAACATCATACTATCACAAAGAAGAATTCTCTGGGAATGAGTGCATGGCTGTAACGATGTGATATATCGCCACGCAAAATAAAATCCCCAAAAGTTAGCACACGTTGAGATTCTTTGAAAGTGCGTTACTTGAAATAAAAGTACAATAAAATTATTTTAACCAAAATTCAGTTTTTTAAACCACGTGATATGATAATTTGATTTCCGGAAAAGTGTGAAGAACTCCTGAGCTATTAGAGAAATGGTAAGCGTTTGTACATTTTGAACTGAACATTTTTCTATTACTAATATTCATAAAAATATCTCGAATTAAATACCAACATGGTATGACCCACAGAATTGTAAAATTTTAAGGGGGCAGTTGTGTTGGCTCCACCACTCAAAAAAAATGTGGGGGGGGGGGAAGATGTAGACGACCCTGATTGTAAGATCTTCCTAGAGCTAACTTGTGCAAGATGTGTCACTTATTGATGGCGAGCGCATTTTTGCGTTGCATATCCTTAAGCACTGCGATTACATACTTGCTGTATCTTCCGTTCTAAGCCAGCAGTTAAGGCGAAGTGATCATGTGATAAGACATCTCTATTAACAATTTGTATATCAACTAGCAGGAACTCGATTACTTAGATTATTTTCAAGTACAACTCTCATGTGAAACTGAAAAAAAGGGGTTTCATCCTCAGTTTCTGTCGTTTCTTATTTAATAAGACTTTTTTCTCAGTCCAGACAGCTGACCTTCATCAGAACACCATTTCAAGATGATTTTCATTAAAGTGATGCGACTAGTCAACATTTTATGAACTAACATGGGCAACTCAAGGGTTATTACTGAAATAAGGGATGATATGTTTACATCAATTTAAAAAATAAAAGTTCCTTGTTAAACTTAAAAAAATACGTATCATGACACCAACATTCATAATATTATTATTGACAACAACAAAAAAACTCTTGTAGACTTATAAATCGGGCAGAAACCAAGAAATGTTCTAGTAAATAGCTTTTATTAAATATTCTTCGATACATATATAACAATTTGAGCTGAATTATACAACTTTAAAACTAAATTGAAGCTCGAAATTAAAACGAATATTTATAAATAATATATCACCTATGTACATGTGTCGCCAAGTCCTCAGGGAAATAGCAGAACAAGGTATGTGAAAGCTTGAAACAGAAAGACAGGACAATAACAACGACCCTGTGAAAAAAATGGGGGGGGGAGGGGGGAGGAGGGTTTGAAGAAGATACAAATGCTTCCATGGACACATTAGGTGGGAACCAAATTTTTTAAACGAAAGCAGTTAAAATATATATGTATATAGATGTGGGGCATTATTTATTAATGAAATCGAAGGGGCGACACCGGATTTTCAGGTTTTTTCCTTGGGCGCAAATTTTCCTTTCAAGGATCCTGTTGCCCCTGATATATGACAGTAAAATTTATTTTAAAAAATTCAATCCAACAGTGTAAACTTTGGCTTTGCCATTGTAATCAAAGTGGAGAGCCTGGAAGGCATTTAGGGACAAAGTCCTCCTTGCAGTAGAATTCAGGGGCTTTGAGGTAGTGGGGTCCACCGAAGACATGCACGCCCAGATAGTAGACCTCTGAGAAGAAATGACACGCCATGTATCTAATATCTTCGCAGTCGAGGCGGATCCCAAACAAAGAAGTTGCTGCATAGATGGTTTTGCAAATGATCTTTTCGGCGATACCTTCAACATTCTTTAAATCATCGCTTTCGCTTATAGTGGCTCTTTCACCAACCTTCGTAATGTTGGATAAATCATCTTTCATCAACTCAATCCACTTGATCAAGACTCTCGTTGTGCGTGGAATGTTAAAAAATATAAAATACACTGACACACCGGGGTTTGATTGGCTGGGTTTAAACGCTCGCAGCTCCTCCTCGAGAAGCAATACGAGTTCACCTTTATGGTTGTCAACAACTTCAGCCAGCCTCTGTCTGTTGTGGGCATATGGAGGCTGGGCGACACCGGGCAGATAATACAGAACGGTGTTAATATAGCGCTTTTTACAGGATGTTGTGGTGTCGTTTCTGAAGCTCAGATCGCAAGTTGCTCTCCCAATAAGGTAAGACACACCCTGAAACACAAAAGCGGGACAAGATTACAACCTGACACAGCTGGTGTTGTATATACATATGTACTAAAATGTGTTCATCAAATCTACCGCTGCAGATAGTAAGGAAAACTCGAAAAGATCATTCTCAATAAGCAGTGTGTTATTGGTTGTAGAATATTTTCCCGTAGAATCTGTCTGCCTCTTGAGATTGCCCATCATTTCATTGTAAACAAACGTTAACAAAATCAACATCTGTCAGTTGATGAGGTTTCATCAGAAGTTCCTAAATGTCATGTTCCCGTCTCCCACAAAGAGTGAACCGTTTGAGGACCACAAAACGTTTTCTTTTTTTGATGTTCTCCTTTTTTTAGGTGGGTGAAGGGGCCTCTAGAGATTTAAAAAAATAATAATCATGATAATTAACGTGGTGGGTTCTCCAACATAGGGAATTGAACAAAACAACATCCCACACTTAAACTTAGATCCTTTGGACATTTATTGATAGTGAAACGACTACAACTCAGGATGATACTTTATGTGTGTTACATCACTTCCTACAAGGCAATTGAAAAAAGCCCAGTTGCCATCTTTGTATCCTCCCCTACCATTACATATTATTCCTTTAAAAGATTCCTTTATCTACCAGTGATCAACTCATAGGGGACCCCCGAAAACGGAGCCACGGTATTATGATTGAAATTTTTAACCCCCCCCCATCCCACAAATTTCTATTAAAATGTAGATACTCTCGGCTAACGTCGTTACAAATTCACCAACCCCCCCCCCCCCATTTTTAAAATAAAAATTATGACGTTATTAATGGGTGGCCCCATGGGTCCCCTCGCCTCTCTGACATACAAATACCCACACAGTAAACGGAGCCACGGTATTATGATTGAAATTTTTAACCCTCCCCCATCCCACAAATTTCTATTAAAATGTAGATACTCTCGGCTAACGTCGTTACAAATTCACCAACCCCCCCCCCCCATTTTTAAAATAAAAATTATGACGTTATTAATGGGTGGCCCCATGGGTCCCCTCGCCTCTCTGACATACAAATACCCACACAGTGGTAGCAGAATACATCCTCTATACAGCCCACCCTCTGACATACAAATACCAACACAGTGATAGCAGAATACACCCTCTAGAAAACGAGCGGTCCACCCCTCTTACATACAAATACCCACACAGTGGTAGCAGATATCGTGGCGGGCACAAGAGTGAGTGAACAAATCTTTGAAGAAAAATGGCAGCTGGAATGGAATGCTGCATCCATCTACATCATATCTGTAACATGTGTCATTCTTAGTGCTTCCTTGTGCTGATACTCCCACAGCTAGAGATGCCATCAGTACAGCAACGATGTAAAACATGATGAATTTTTCTGCAAAAAAACGCGTTACAGAAAACTAGTCTTAAATGAACTGTAAATGACGGAAAAAATCATCGAAAATACAGAAATAATCTACGAATGAGAAGTAAAGCTATACAAGTCCTGATTGTCAGTCACGGATGAAGTAACATTTTTTATGAAATTTCAGCATCGCTAAATAACTGAAATACAATTCTGCTATATAATTTTGAATTTTAAAAAGAAAAATAGACCACGGTGTCTTAACAAAAGGACTGAATTCATTTGTTCTTATCTTCAAACGTCAGATTGGTGTCTACATATTTCTGTATGGTTTCAAGGCTAACTCATCATAAAGTTAATCTTTAAAAAAAAAACTTACGAATTAATGGCTTTGGAATAACTTCCCTCCATTTGGTTCAGTGAACTCTTCAGTCTTAGAGCAAATTTCATGAGCACGTCAGATACTACTTACAATTATTTGCCTACTACGGTTTAAAGGCACACTGAACGAGGGTTTTAAATTTTCAATTCAATTTCAAGATTCCCAAAGCACGTTGCGGTCATCCAAGGGCCACAATGCCGCACCATCCTGTCCCAATACCAACCCTTGTTTACAACCCAGCTACTTTCATCCCACTTACCTCAGCGGTTGATTTCAAGTGGCTATGTTCTATGCAGTATCAGGGAGTTTGTTTCACAGATTTATGACAAGGAAACGTAGCGATACTAAAAGAACGATTTTGTTTTGAACTATTTAAATCAAATCAACCAGGATGATTATTACTAAACATAGTTCCACTAAACTGTTTCTAGTGGCGTGCAGTCAATGGGGGATCGAGTAACAAACGAATTTGGCAAGGTAGTCATAGCAGGACATGGTGGGTCCTATCACTTCCCTATCATTTACAACTCTTGCTTGGTATTTCTCGTTGAAATCATGATGTGCATGAAGGGAACGCTAAAACAAGTGACGTATGAAAGGAGGGGGAGTGCAGTTGTCTCTGCCCCCCCCCCCCAGTAGTCACTTTTGTTCTTTCATATTGAAGTGCGGTATTGTCTGGAAAAAATCACTCATTCTTTTATCGTGATATGGGGTGGGAAAATTTTAGCCCCCCTCTGGCAGCACTAACCCTAGTTTACGCCACTGTCACCACCTCACAGGTTCCTTTGACGCATTAAATTTCTGTTGGTGAAAATTACACGAAGAAGTAAAAACGGTTGGTGATTGTAGTAGCGGAAGTGATTTGCTCAAATCGTTTCAAATTCTAAGTCGGCTACATACTCTTGTTAAAACAATTCTTTCTACGAACATATGCTGGCTTAAAATGTTTTTGTGTACACGTACATGTTTAACATGTTCTTTCTATGTTTACGAACAGGTTTTCCAGGTTTTCTCCAACTGCAAGATTATAACAAGTTCACCGCAAAATAGCAAATGATATTCTTGTCACTAAAGGGTTAGGAAATCACTAACACAATCAATAAACTCAATTATTGTAGAACGTTTTCATTGTAGCCTCATTGTTTGCCAGTTTATATACAATAGAAGAGGTTTACATCGCACAAGATCTTTCTGTTTATAGCATGAATTCTGAGGAGCACAGGTCCATAGAACTTTAATCCGGAACTTTAGTCCACAATCATGAGAAGCTCTAATAGAAGATGCGTGAGACGTCATAACAAACGGTCAAATAGTTCATCTACGTTGTAGCATACCTCATGTACATTTAGATATAAGTTAGCACATTCTATCACTTGCACTATCGTATTGTGTTGAATTTTACTTTGATCCAGAAATAAATTGTACAGATATATTACATAACATTTGCATAATACATTAATATTAAGAATAACATCTGAAATATACTTGCATACATATAATATATTATGTGACAGTTTATGTACATTGACCGATATAAATAATAAAATCTGCGCATATGAACATGGATATGTTGTGTAAAATAACTTCAGGATCTTCACCAAGATCAGTTGTTGGCATCAGGAAAAATTTGACGACACCAAATTGACGAAATATCAATCTTGCTTGCAATTTTAGTTCGTGTGATACAGTTTGTAGCTAAATTACACTAGAAATGAGATCAAAGTTTTTCTTCTTTATGATATCAAAATATGATCGTTAATAAAATTGTATGGAATTTGTTTTAACTCTAAAGCCTTGGAGTCTTTCCCTGGATCTTTACGACACTATATGTTACGTTTGTGGGAAAAAAAAACGAAGTCCTTTTCGGTCTGTTGTACTTACCTAACAAATTGGCACCACTGATTATGAATGAGTTCTGTTGTACTTACCTAACAAATGGGCACCACTGATTATGAATGAGTTATATTGTACTTACCTAACAAATGGGCACCACTGATTATGAATGAGTTATATTGTACTTACCTAACAAATGGGCACCACTGATTATGAATGAGTTATATTGTACTTACCTAACAAATGGGCACCACTGATTATGAATGAGTTATATTGTACTTACCTAACAAATGGGCACCACTGATTATGAATGAGTTCTGTTGTATTATCTAACAAATAGGCACCACTGATTATGAATGAGTTCTATTGTACTTACCTAACAAATGGGTACCACTGATTATGAATGATAACGGAAGCACGCATTATTTCAAGTGCTACACAAGCTGTGTAAATATACCAACGTAACGAGTCCAATGTGTGCTCTTTACGTCTACCTCCACGGTATGTTACATGTAGATAAATTATATTTGGACATTGTTAGAACCAATATTACGATAAGCTAGATCTGTAATGAAACTGCATTTAAATATAACAATTGATTCTGATCAGTTACTTTATGATCAAGTGCTTAAAAATCTAATGAAATTATTGTATCTATTTTTTTTTTTTTAATTGTGGCATCTCTTGATTAGAAAAGTAAAATAATCTATGGGTTTGTTTTTTTAAATTAGATCTAAGTTAGCATATTGTTGAGCTTTAATTTAAAGCATTTTAAATCTAGCTGTTACTTAAACTTTTAGATGGGATAATTTTTTTTTTTTTACTTCAACAAGTGATTCCACGGGTCACAAAATAAAATATTTTTACTTAAAACGTTATTTCAGATGTCTCAAACGGACAAAAATGTTGAGTTCTCTTTCAATTTTGATGGTAAATTATAGGTACTAGGGTTTTGAAGTTGTCTTTGAAATACGTAAGGTATAAGGGGAAAATACCGCGAATTTTTTTCACTTTTATTTAATATGGAAAATCAGGACGTTGACAAAAATTGAGTTTTCACCTCTTTCTTTTCTCTTTTTGCGTTATTCACTCTGTGATGGTTTTGTTGTCAGTCTTTCCTATCTCGGTCTGCTGGATCTCAATCTGTCGGATCTCTGTCTGTCGCATCCGTGTCTGTTGGATCTCTGTCGGATCCCTAACTTTCGGATTCCCGTCTTTTGTATTCTTGAAGATTATGATAAACTTGTGGGTAGTCATTGCTTTTCTCTTAGAAAAATGCGAATAATTTCTTCAGTTCAAAGTTACTTGCCAGTGTTTTTAAGAGCGATTATTTATGAGTATCCAAGAGCAACGTGTCTCTGTTTGTCTGCAGGAGCCTTTACTCCTTATAATAAAAATCGTTCTTATCCCGAGAAGGGTTCCGAAAAGATTTCTTATGACGGAAAGATAGCAAGGACGGCAGGTTTTTAAGAACTCAGGACGCATTGAACAAAGCAAGAGACTCGATGAGGTGATCCTTCAAGAACTCAGGACGCATGGAACAAAGTAAGAGACTCGATGAGGTGATCCTTCAAGAACTCAGGACGCATGGAACAAAGTAAGAGACTCGATGAGGTGATTCTGACATTGTATTAGCTGTTGTCATAATTACTGCGGGGCCTGATCAACAGTTAAAGAGGGATCTTTATTTTTTTTATCATATTATGAAACTGATTTTAAAAATATAAATATATTTGAAATCATTTTTAATAGATTTTCGTCGCGGGCGGCATCCAGTGAAAGTACATAAATCAAGCTTGCATTAAGAAAAGTTTCTAAAGAGTTTTAACTTTTTTTTTCGCAAAATGCTAGTTATTGTACTGAATTCTATTCAACTATAGTCCAGAACAAAGCTTTCAGAATTTTTAAAACTTGAATTAATTCATTTTAATGTATTAAATATTATACACTTTAATTATTATGATTTTATGTTCTAAAGTTTTAAACAGTGATCATGTCATCGTGATCAAAGAGAAGAGCCTGGTAAGCATTTGGGGACAAAATTTTCCTTGCAGTAATATTCAGAGCTCCTGTGGTAGTTGGGTCCGCCGAAGACATGTACTCCAAGGTAGTAGATCTCTGAGAAGAAATGACAAGCCAAGTATCCGATATCTTTGCAGTCGAGAGTGACCCTAAACAGCGACGTGGCCGCGTAGATGGTACTGCAGATAGTCTTCTCGATGACACCTTCGACGTATCTTAAATCATCGACGAGGAATCTACGCTTTCTTCTTGCGCCTCTGCTACCTTTCTCTAGGCTCGATAAATCATTTTTCATTAACTCAATCCACTTGACCAAGACTTTCGTTGTGCGCGGAATGTCAAAAAACACAAAGTAAGCTGACTGGCTCGGATTCGATTGGCTTGAATTAAAAGCTTTGAGTTCCTCCTGGAGTAGCACCGCTAACTCGTCTTCATGATCGTCGACGACTTCAACCAGTCTCTGTTTGTGACTTGTGGATGACGGCTTTCCGAGACCTGGAACATAGGACAGTAGCCCCCCGCTCTGTTCAGGAGTAAGGTAGCGTAACTTGCAGGATGTTGTGGTGTCGTTTCTGAAGCTCAAATCGCAAGTCGCTCTGGAGATAAGTTCACCCACGCCCTGAAATGGAGACGTTGATGGAATCGGAATTAGAATTGTGAGCTTTAGTTGTCTTTTTTATAAAGTAACAAATAAACATTGGATATTTTTTCGACTTGAGCTCCGCCCCTGCATAAAGTTGCACTAAAGAGGGCTTCTCTAATAAACGGCATGTAGGGGTGTAGGGTAATAGTCCCTGCTATTAAGTTCCTAAGCTTGTTTTGATATTTGATACCCATTCAAGCGCCACAATAAATTTAATGTATATATATTCAATTGTTTTATCTTTAAGCGTAAAACACGCATGCATGGACAAATCAATGTTGTATCACGGTAATAAGTTACATTTAGAGTATACACCATTCCTCTACCTGTAGGCCACTTATGGATTCCCTCTTACATATAATACCCACACAGGTGTGAAAGAATACACCCTCTATGAAACCAGTGGCGCTCCCCTCTTACATACAAATACCCACACAGTGGTAGCAGATATCGTGGCGGGCACAAGAGTGAGTGAACAAATCTTTGAAGAAAAACGGCAGCTGGAATGGAATGCTGCATCCATCTACATCATATCTGTAACAGATGTCATTCTTAGTGCTTCCTTGTGCTGATACGCCCACAGTTAGAGATGTCACCAGTAAAATGACGATGTAAAACATTATGAATGTACCTGGCAAAAAAAGTATTTGAAAACTCATTTTCTCAACCGAATAGTTTGAAATTAATATGTTGAATTAGAGGATTTTAAAGGACATTGTTTTTACAAGAGTAATCCTGTCATGAAGACGTGATTGGAAGAAAGACATGAACGTTTCGGCATCAAGTAAAAAAATTAAAAATAGGTTAGACAACAACAGGGACCCGACCAGTCGGCATTGCATGCTGGTCCCGGAGACATAGGCTCATCTGTTGAATTCGTGCCTGCACTGGATGTTGCGGCGGAAGCAAGGGTGGCGGGAGTGTCCTACGTTACCATTATGTTATATTGCACAGCCCAGCAGATGGAGCTGGTTGCCTATGTACTCATTGGCAGGGCCCAGCAGATGGAGCTGGTTGCCTATGTACTCATTGGCACAGCCCAGCAGATGGAGCTGGTTGCCTATGTACTAGCTGTCACAGCCCACCAGATGGAGCTGGTTGCCTATGTACTAGCCGAGTCTTTAAGAGCTTAAGATCAAGCCTCCACCAGAATATCTGTGTTAGTTACATAAAGTGACCCAAGCCGCTTAGTCAAGTAGCGCCTTGTCTTCTTATCATGTTACACCGGATAGCAAACTAAAAAAACCTCTATTTTCTGTAGTGTAACCAGTACATAGGCTTAAACTGTTATGTGTACACAACATATGTCTCCTTAAAGTGAATAGCTACAAAATTGATAATTAATTATTGACTTTTTATTAAACCTGGCCAAGAACTGACAAATCAAGTCATTACAGAAGAATATTTTCACTGTGACTGAGGACATTGAAAGAAAGTCGCATCTCCGGTTATCGGTTATGAGCCCGATACTCAGTTGCTGTATTTAAAATAGAATCATAACTGATTTATTTTTATCAGTTTTTAAGGATACAATTTTTAAAAAAGCCTGATTTAAAAATTACTGTTGAGCGAATAAAGGACCTTAAATAGATTAAACATACAGTATTTCAGATAAAACAGGTACTGTCATTGGATGTTTCACCAAACCACACGCTGTGCGGGATCATATAATGCCCAGAACCAGGGTCAATTGAACTATTTTTGTATGCGAAACTGTTGAGAATGTATTATGAAAACAAATAACCCGTTTAAAACAGGATTTCTTCAAATTCTGACTGGTTTTCCAAAAGGAGTCTCAAAATGTGTGGTTTTCGTGATCTCTTTTTCATTAGTTTTGCTATATTTTATCTCGTTAAAAATTAACTTTCATCCATTTCCCTCATTTATTGAAATAATGTGCATATGGCAGATCCCCCAGTGGCTTAGAGATAATGATGACCTCGTGTTGTCAGGTTCATGATATTTCCTACAACATCAGTGACCCAATACTCTTCATGAGAAAATCATTTCAATTCCTGGATGTCATAAAATTCAGGACATTTTTTGAGATATTAAAACAATAATTGGAGAACAGAACGTAGCACTACATGACCCTTACTCCATGTTTCTGACGTGTCGTGCGTGTCTCAATAGTTCTATGAAATTGTACCATCAACCTTTAGTCCTTTTTTAGGGTACTTACCAACCAAATGGTTCGTCCACGAATAGTTTAAGCCCAAACCCGGTCTAGTGGTACACTATCTATGTAAATGAACGCACACAACAGCTCTATTTGTACGGTAGATGGACAATAGATTCATTAAACCGCAAAACTGTATTTTAATAAGATGTAGGATTACTTTTTAAAAATAGTTGAAAGAACAGCTCGTAAAGATATATTTTTTTTAGATGAATGGTTTTTTAAGTTTTATTCAAAAAGAAATTAACAAGTTAAATCTCGACATCTGTCGACCTAGTCAGCCGCTATGCAAATTGGTGTCTGATACGAATTCAGTCGGTGTTGTCCCATAATGCGGGTAATTAGCTGAGTCCAATGAGATCATCGGCCATTAAGTCAGCTACGCACTTGGGGGATATTATAGTAGCGACTGGAATTAAGCCGTGTCAAAGAAATTGCAAGAACAAGATAAGTTGAGACTCGAATAACAAAACAAGACAATGAAACCAATATTTCAGGGCAGAATGAACGAAAATCACAAGGAAATTAGACAAGAGGAGAAACTCTGCTCAACTTGACAGGGTGTAGCTTATAGACATAACATTGAAACAATAGATACATCTTGCTAGAGACGACACATTTGCTGTATATATATAATGTATACTAGAATATATAACCCGATGTGACCAGAATAGTAATGGAAGAAATATTGCGCTACTCTCCGCCTGTTCTTATGAAGTCTTACATTTTGCCATGTCAACTGTATTTTAAAGCTGATTTCCAATGTTTTGTGTTATAAATTTAATAAATTGCAATTTTTTTGTAGTAATAAAAGTTGAACCAATAAATGTAAAAAATCTACAGCTTAAATTGTGAGTGGTGTGCTAAAACAATTGTTTGCAATTTATAAAGAAAGATGTCATATTTATCATAAAAAATAATTTAATTTGTTTTTCCTTCGTGGTTTAAGTCACGAAAATTGAATTAGGGCGATTTGCCAGTCATGTAAGCGATGAGCAGTGAGTTCAAATTAATCCTAAAATTACAATTTGTATATACTTAATTGTAAAGCAATAGGATTTTAATTTCAGGATATTTATTATTATTATTATAATGCCTTTCATCCTAAATTCAATCTCAAATTGGGGTTTATACTAAACTACTATCTTTTTTAAATTTGTATTTGCTTTCAAATTAATAAAATTAATATACAATTATGCTTCTGGGATATAAAAGTTATGTGTCGGGAAAATGCTAAATAAATATATATAGAGAGAGAGTAAGGTATTTACTTCAATGAACTTAAAAAAACAGATATTTACTGATACCTAGGAAATTCCCAGGGAAGTAGGGACATTTATAAAACTAAACTATAATGTACATAAATTTTTAAATCCCATTGACATTATTTATAACCGTTATATCTACGTCGAACAAAATGGAACTTGCTTGAATATCATATATTTGCTTTTAATTATATGCTTTTTCTTAGGTTGCTCAGTCCGTTTCTTTCTTTCATTAGTTTTTGGGCGGGTTGTCAGATTTCCCACATCAGCTTTGATCCACTTCCTGGTGTCCAATTGAGTTGAAACTTTGTACACTTACTCATCCTCGATGACAATATAACGCTTTATAAGTAGGTCTCCATCGACCTCCACTGACCCTTGGGGAACCTCAGCGTGTCAATATCTTGGATCTCGATTTCGGCCCACTTCCTGATGTCCAATTGAGCTGAAACTTAGTCCACTTACCCACCACAATGTTAATACAAATCTTCATGATCCATCGGTCAACAGTCACTTCCAATGACCAGTGAGTGACATCGGCGGGTCAAATCTTGCATCTCAATTTTGACCCGTTTCCTAATATCTAACTGAGCTGACACTTTGACTAAATTGTACAACATAAAACAATTTAATTGTACATCATAAAACAATTAAATGTATACATAATAAAACAATTAAATTGTACATCATAAAACAATTAAATGTATACATAATAAAACAATTAAATTGTACATCATAAAACTATTAAATTGTACATCATAAAACGATCAAATTGTACATCATAAAACAATTAAATTGTTCATCATAAAACAATATCATCACCTTTGTCCTAAACCGCTACAGGAATACCTCTGGTGTTGGCAGCATGATAGAAACACTAGGCTGGTCACCATTGGAGAAACGACGACGACAATCCAGGCTCTCCATGATGTACAAGATAAATAATGGGCTGGTTCACTGTTCCAGTATTAAACAGAAACTCGTCCCTCTCCCCCATAGACAGCGACGAGGCCATGACAGGCAATTCAGGCTCATACCAGCAAGAAGCCAGTATAGGAGCTGCTCATTCCTGCCCAAGACAATCAGGGACTGGAACCATCTTTCAAAAGGAACAGTTGAGGCGACAACACTAGACACATTTGTGTCTATTGCCTCAAGCCTTCAAACCCCTAGTGCATAATTTCCTCATCACCACCAGTAACAGAAACATTGCAAATCCCATCTACATGCATAGGAGCCAAAATGATCAATAAATTGATCGTGGGCCCTTAAGATATAGAAGAAGAAGACAACTTTTTTTAAAACATTTCCAAACACTTTACAAAAAAGTAAAAAAATAAATATCCCTGCAAAACTTCAGAGGTGCTACAGTCATATGAGTAAAAAAAACACGTAGATCGCCCATGAAATACAGGGTTGTATGACTTTTTTCCTAGGTTTCCCTCTCCGTTTGTTAGTTTGTGGTCACAACTTGACTCTCAGTTTGACCCTACTTTCTGATCTCCAATTTATCTCAAACAACATTGAGTTCTTTGGCGCCTCACGCCTTAAAAGTTCGATTGGTCTTTAAATCATGTTTTTTACTTGACTTGGCTAGAATATTAAATGAAACGTGAAGGGCCTCACATACAAGGTTTACAAGAGTTTTTTTTTAACTGAATTTTTTTTAGGAATTTTTAACTATTTTGACGAGACTTTAGAGAACTGTTTATGAAGAGCTGGCTGAAAACCAGTTAGAAGATTTTTACGAATGTAAACCCAAACGACGCCGGGTATATTGGATGGGCACCACAGGTGGATGGGACCCGTTTACCTTGGATGGTAACTCATCTATGAAAAAAATACTGAATACCCGGAGAAGGAGTCCCGAAGGCGTATATTTTAATGTCATGATTATGTCTCTTTTGAGAACATTTTTATGTACAGTGCGGTGAGCCCAGCCCTAGGCTGGGGGACCGCGCTATATAAAACCTCTTATTATTATTATATTTTTATATATTCCTACAGTGAAAAATTCAGACATCTCCTGCGACGCTAATGGTTCCAAGTTGCATTATCAATATATGGTGTTTCCTTGGGTTATCCAGATGCGTTGAGAGAGGCG